CCCAGCAAATACAACATGTGCTCTTTGTGTACTATAACCTTCAAAAGTAACCAAATATCATATTCAACTGTCAGTAATGCTGTATTTAATTAAATACTTACAGCTGTATGTGTCATATTGTTTGTTATCAGTGAGTTACAGGTGCTCTTCATAAATTGATGTCCAAAGCTGGAAATCCCCTAGTATTTTCGTGAATGTAAATGACAATTTTACTTGTAATTTAACTCTGGTCACTTTAATTGAAATCCCCTCAGTGCATTCAAGAGTAATCACTTTATGTTTGTCAAAGATGAGTGTTTTTCTGTTCATTTTAAACTGAGAAATAATTTAGTATGGTTCACGCATATTCAAATTTGGATGCACCCATGTAATATGATGTGTGAAAACACTCTGTCCAAGCACACATAAAAAATCAAGGTATATGTATAACCAATGAAATTAGTGCTTACATTGGGGGGGGGGGGAAGAACTAAAATATCCAAACGTGTAGAAAACGTGAATGCAATAACTGAATTGTAAGCATACTGAATGCTAGAATAGAGATAACAGTTACACATAGGTAAAAGTTATTACCAGTATATCTGACTAACTACACTATACAAATTGCATTCAAATTTTGCAGGAACAGCAACCAATCAACATACAGTGTATGTACAGGCTGCTTTCTAGTGGAATTAAATTTGACTGGCATATAGTACTTTGCAGTTAGAGGCAAGGAACACTGGCTAAAGCAATTAGCTTACATCACATTTTAAATCATATTGGACTGGGACTAATTATTCATAGTAACATACATGCACAAGAGAATGAAAAAGAAATTGGGGAATCAATTAACATAACTAACAACACTGGTGTCCATGCGGTGAACTGGGATGAATCAGGTAATCAAATGAGATCTAATAATAAGCCTTATAGCCATTGGTGAAAAAAAAAGCAAAACCAGAGCCAGAAACAAACACTTTCTTGATGTTCTGTAAGATATGATATTCTTCTCAATGACATCCTTGAAAATGATTCTATTCTTGCCGTTCAATGGTAAAAATCCAAATTCTTACTACTTCATCTTTGAGAATATAAATTCTCACTAATTTATTAGCGAGACTTCAAATTGCATGGTTTTTCACAAGGGATTTTAAGTAGGTTGAATTCTCATCAGTTGGTCAACAAAATCTCACCAACAAAATTGGATTTTCGCTTATAAATCAGCGTAAATTTATATTCTCACAAATAAATCGGTGAGATTATACATTCTTACCTATGTGAAGTGGTCAGAATTTGAATTCAAGACAATAAAACAATAATTTCTCACCATTGAACCACAAGAGCATAAATGTGAGAAAGCATATGTCTCTTGTTCTAGTCTTGAACGTTTACTAATAATATATGCATGACCTTCATCCCCCAAAAAAGGGCACATACCTGATAATTTGGGAGGGGGAAGGGGGGTCACCAGGAATGCAAGGTCCCTTTCATTGATGAAATTGTTAGTATTACTGTTTGGGCAAAATAAAACAAGTCATGACACGACACAGTCCCTGTTGTTTTTAATAAAAGTATATTCAAGAGCAAGTATATATATATCTGTACATGTACACGTTTTGTCAAACATGCATGCAATCTTGCGAATGTATTGCATATTAACAGCTCAGGCAAATGCCTGAAATACTGTTCTACAAAGGCTTGATATTGTTGCATATTGTATTCTGACTGACACTCATATAACAGGCATGATACAAACTGAAGACAGTTACAACTATTTGGTAACAGGTATGAAAAATCATGGTAGAAATGCTATTGAAAATGATGAAAATGTTGAATTTCAATGCTTTTTTAGCCCTAAACGGCAGTAATTTCGTCATCATGAATCAAATGTATACACCATTACATGTGCATATGTCTGACATGATTTCTGGTATGTGTGGAGTTTGAAACATTTGAAAATGACAAATTAATATCAATTTATTTACGTGTCAGTTTGCCTGATTAACTGTCTGAGAAATGAGTCATGACACATTAACAGCTCGGATTGCTTATGTCATTTATATATCGTCCAATCCCATCTGTTGTCACAGCTTGATTTATAATCTACCATATTGCAGTGTGAGGTTGTCAACTGTTATATTAATCAGCTGACCTACTCATTGCAGATAACGTAACATTGACATGCATCTCTATAGAGTAAACTTGGCGAATGTAATCCCTATACAACTTTCACAAAGTCACAATTTCAATGACTGTAATGACTGGATGCTCGTGGAATACTGAAGTTCAAACCCTGTAAGCAACAACTTGCAATATGAAGCGTCATAAATGTATATCCTTCTTTAGTCCCATCACTCTGAAAAACCTCCAGTATTTTGCCATGGAGCGTCCAGACAGACACATGGGCTCATTAATTAATTTTTCAGCAGGGAGCTTTGCTATTTTTTTTTTTAAAGCAATATTACAAGTCTAAGCCTGCAATCACACTATCAGGAGATAAAAACAGACTGTTTGAGGCACCTGGGCAATT